GACTGGTGTGGTGGCGTGTGCCTGTAATCCCAGCTATTCGAGAGGCTGAGACAGGAGAATCGCTTGAAACCAGGAGGCGGAGGTTGCAGTGAGCTAAGATCGCATCATTGCACACCTGCCTGGGCAACAAAGCGAGACTCCATCTTAAAAAAAAAAGTAAGTCCATGCCTCTGCCAACTTCATGTATGATTTTATTATCATGACATTCCCTTTTAAAGTTATGGTGTTATATTGATTTCAAGATAGTAAAAGGGAGTTACAAAACAATGTTTGTTACAAACAGGGAAGATAGTAAAAGGGAGTTACAAAACAATCTTTGTTACAAACGGGGGTGTGGGATCTGGTTGGTTTAAGACTTATTGATCTACAAGCAATTAAACCTGCATGAAAACAGATCTGTAACTCTCAGACAAGCCTCACAGAGGTCTAGGATGCTCTAGAGAGGGCAAGGGGCACACTGGAAGGATGAATCAACTTGTCAGGATCAGGTCCTGATGGAGATCAAAACCAACCTACAGCAACAAGGTGAGAGGGCTGGGCTGGGCTTAGTCAGCCACAGGGCTCAGATTGGAATCTTATTTGAGCACACCCTGAATACATATATGGAGGGCGTTAGACCAATAATTCTTGGCAGGGCACCATGGCTCACACATGTTATCCCAGCACTTTGGGAGGCTAAGGTGGGAGAATCACTTGAGTCTCCTCAGGAGCAGCATGGGCGACATAGTGAGGCATTGTCTTTGTAAATTAATAATAATAATAGTAACAATTCTTGAGTGCCTATGGTGGATCAGGCCTCATATGTGATGGGGACACACATGCATCTCTTACATGCCCCAACTGTCCTAGGGTCGTTGTTAATTCTTGCTTTACAAAGGAGGAAGCCCAGGTTTGGACAGTTAAAACAACTTGCTGGAAGCCACACAATGATTCCTGAGTAGAGGCCTGCTTCCCTGCCTTCAAAGCTATTTCGTCAAAGGAAGTTTATATGTATTCAGTGTTGGATAAACAGTTGCTCTCAGTTTTTGATGTTTTCTAGGAGATTGTGCAGCTTGGAAGCAACAATGGTGGGTGTATTAGTCCGTTTCACGCTGTTATTAAGAACTTCCCTGAGACTGGGTAATTTAGAAAGGAAAGAGGTTTAACTGACTCACAGTTCCACATAGCTGGGGAGGCCTCAGGAAACTTAAAATCACGGCGGATGGTGAAGGAGAAGCAAGCACCTTCTTCACAAGGCAGCGGGAGAGAGAAGAACGAAGGAAGAACTTCCAAACACTTACAAAACCATCAGATCTCATGAGTGATCTCTCACTGCCACGAGAACAGCATGGGGGAACTGCCCCCATGATCCAATTTCCTCCCTCCCTCTAGAAGTGGGAGTTACAGAGTTACAATTCTTTTTTTTTTTTTTTTTTTTTGAGATGGAGTCTTGCTCTGTGGCCAGGCTAGAGTGCAGTGGCATGATCTAGGCTCACTGCAACCTTCACTTCCCCTGTTCAAGCAATTCTGCCTCAGCCTCCTCAGTAGCTGGTACTACAGGCGTGCGTCACCACACCCAGCTAATTTTTTATTTTTAATAGAGACAAGGTTTCACCATGTTGGCCAGGATGGTCTCCATCTCTTGACCTTGTGATCCTCCCACCTCGGCCTCCCGGAGTGCTGGGATTACAGGCTTGAGCCACTGACCCAGCCGGGAGTTACAATATGAGATGAGATTTGGGTGAAGACACGGAGCCAAACCCTATCAGTGGGCTTCTTTAGGAAATATGTTTCCTTGGGAAATAACTCTTGGCTCTCTGAGGGCTTGGCCACTCTGACTTTGATCAAACTGGCACCTGGGACACTTACCCGGGTGAGGCAGGGGGCCTGTGATAACTTGGTGACTCGCTGCCCCTTTCTCACTGCAGTCGGCAATGTCAGGGCATTTGGTCCCTGCTGTGGGTGCTCCCATGTCTGTCTGGCCCTTGGCCTCTCCCTCCCCTGGTGGCCAGCTCTGCTGTGACCAGCCCAGCCTGCTGCTGGAGCTGTGTGCTGGTTTCCTGCTCCTTCTTGGGCATTCTGGGCTCCAGGAACTGTTTGTTGGTTTCCTATGGGCCATTCCTTTCCAGGACGGGCCCAGCGGCTGCAAACCTCCTAAGATCTGCCCACAGCCCTGTCTTGAAGTGAACTTCCCAAGAAGGTCCTCAGCTGAGCAAGGGGAGTTAGAAACAAGAATGGAGGCAGGAGAGTGTGTGCGCCTGCTTTTTAGAGTAGGAGTGTGTGCTCATGCATGAGGGGGAGGCTGTCACTAACTTGGTCATGGATGACTGCCATTTTAAGCAGAACCAGATTTGCTGGCATGAATTGTTTAAACGATGGTAGACACAAGCACTGCAGGGAGATCCTCCCAGCCTAAATTAAGGAGGGAAAATATCCCAGGCCATCTTGCTCTGCACCTCCCTCCCCCTCCCCAGGGTTTCTGTCATCTATGGGAATTTCAGGGCCTCACTGACACCCGAATGACAATCTTTTGTCTTCATCCTGGAAGGCACCATGATGGTATCAAAGGACAGCTGGAGAGCACTGGTTCCCTCCGCAGCCCCACACAAATACCCTCTTTATCCACCTCCTTAAGCCATCCCAAACAACCCACAAACTTAATACAACTATCGTGCCTTCTGTCTGGGCAAAGCACCGTGTGTCTGTAGTCTCGGCTACTCAGGGGGCTGAGAGAGGGGAGGATTGCTTGAGCCCAGGAGTTCAAGACTGTACTGAGCTATGATCACAGGTGTAAATAGCCACTACACTCCAGCCTGGGCAACATATTGAGACCCCATTTCTAAATAAGCAAAGAAAAATTGTGCTTTCTCTGCAAAAAGAGGGTCTAGGGAAGTACTTCTTACTTTCTTGTGCATTGAGATCACCTGGGGACCTTGTTAAGATATAGATTCTGATTCAGGAGGTCTGGAGTGGGGCTCCAAGAACATCCATTTATAACAAGCTCTCAGGTGATGCCAATGCTGCACTTTCTCTCTCTCTCTCTCTCTCTCTCTCACACATACACACACACACACACACACACACACACACACACACACACACACACAGCTTCATAGGCTCACAGAGTTGCAAGCCCAAATCCATGTTCTAGGCTGGGCTCTGCCAGGAACTGCCAGGAGTTGCATCTCTCTCTGGAACTGTTTCCGCATATTTGAGTTTCTCCCTACAAAGTCTGAGGCCTTGGATCCCCATGCAAACTCCCATGCAAACTCCACCCCCATCCTGCCTGTGTGTCTTTGGGAGGATCATGTCCTTCTTTGGTGTTGGTGTCCTTGTTTACAAGTTGAGAGATGATGAGAGTCACCTGATCTGTGCAGGTCAGGACATAAATAAAGCTTGTATGTAAAGGTGCCTAGCATAGTTCTTGGCAAAGTAAGGATCCATCAGTGTGATTGAATTGGTTTGTGCATCTAGGAAGAATAAGCAGACTGCATACTGTGTGTCAGAGTGTAGGGAGGAATCAGACATGACCCCACCCTCTAGTCATCTGGGTGCATAGATTCTAGATTAAAGGATGGAGTAGGGTGGTAGCTAACAAGAAGATGGGAGAGGAGATGTGCAGTTCCTGGATCTGAGGGAGAATTAAAGCAGAAGGGTAGGAGGTGGGGAATGGGAAGGTATGCATGAAACCCCAAAGCAACTCTTGATGAGCAGGCATTGGCAGGAGGCCCCAGAACATTTTCTGACCCGTAAACACTGAGAATTCGTGTCTGCTGAGTAACAGTAGTGAGAGGGGTAAGCGTATGGGGGTGTTTGTGCCTGAGTCGGGGGCTCTGGATGGTAGAGATGTCTGGGAGTTCTGATGGAATGGGGATGAGGAAGCCTAAAGATAACTGTTACAGTCTTTCAGGGCCTTAACCATTCTGGCTGGGGAACCGGGAAGTGTGGATGGGGTGTGCAGAGGACGGCAGCTGAGATAGCATATTTCATCCTGAAAGCACTACATGAGGATAACGGTGGTAGTGATGATGATGCCCTCATTTTAGTGTCATGGCAACATTTTCCAAGGGGTTGGAATTGGGTACCCTCATTAGTGTCATTTTTGTTTGAGAGATTTCAAGATTCCACCTAGATGTCATTTAAAAATCTACTGAAAAAATAATCTTGAATGCAGGTCCCTGACCAGTTGGTTCCAGGTAACTGCACTGCTTTCTGCTTCCACTAAAGCAATCCATGACAACATGAAAAAGTCATGGGAAACCTATCTGAGACTTAGGTTTTTCTTTTCGTTTTGGAGCTGGGGGTCTCAGTATGTGCTCAGGCTGATCTAGAACTCTTGGGCTCAGACGATCCTCTGGCCTCAGTCTCTCAAAGTGCTGGGATTACCGACGTAAGCCACTGCACCCAGCTGAGACTTAGTTTTTTTGGTCAGGAAATGAAGGTGACCTTTGTGATCCCAGTAGGCCCTTGCGCTTGCGGGTAAGATGATTCCCAGCACTGCTCATGAAAAGTAGTAGCGATGGCAGAATAGTCTCTGCTCTCCATTTTTTTCGAGGGGCGGTGGTGGAGGGGAGGCTGGGGATGGCATTTCCATTAAATGAGTTTCCATGTTGCTTTTCTTCACGCACCACTGACCTCGATGGAAAAATGAAGTCCCCGTCCCAGGAAAGAGACAGGTCTTGGGATTTTGATGCATGAGAAAGGTCAAATGCCTTGCTCATTCATTAAAATCCCAAAACCTTCTTCTAGAGACCTAACTCTGTGGCTGTTTTGGATTAGTTTGTACAATGCCCTGCAGGCCTACTCTCTCAGGGAGTTCCAAGTGGCCAAATGTGACCAGAAAGTGTTTTTTTAAAGGCAGCCTGGAAGAGAAGTTGGTGACCGTCAGGATCCCGCAGCGACCCCCAGGACGGCCTGGTTGAGACAGCCACTGGAGGGTCTGGGTGCAGCCTGCTGCCTGGCCAGTAGGCGGCGCGCACACGCCGTGGGGCCCGGGTCCGGGCGTGCGCGCGGCTGGTGGCAGCGGGGCCGCGCACGGCGAGGTCCGCGAGCCAGGCCGGCGCCCCGAAGCCATTTCCGGGAGGGGCGGGGCCGGCTGCGGCCGGGCCTCTAATCCTGGCGGCGGCGGAGGCGACCTGGGACCTCGAATCCTTTGGCTCGCGAATCGGTCGCGCGCTGAGGTAGACGTGGAACGTGGAGCTGGCAGGCGTGGGAGAGTGCTCGAGGGAAGGAGACTGGAAGCTGGTTCCGGCGTGAGGAGGTGGAGGGTCCGCCGCGGGCTCTGGGGCGCGGGGAGGGTCGGGATGGAGGCGCGGCGGGTTGAGAAGAGGACAGAGGCCGGGGACGCGCAGAGGCGTGGGGCGGCTGTGGCCAGGGCGGAGGCGGGCTGAAGGCGTGGGCACCGGCCGCCGAGGTCCAAGTGAGTGGACGGCAGGCGGGCGCGGGGCTGCGGTGGGGGCGGGCCTGGAGCCCACTCCTGCCGCGGGAGTAGGAGTGGGCGTGGGCAGCTAGGGTTTGCTGGTCCTCCAAAGGGAGGGGAGACCTGCGAACAGGGAGGCGTGACGACGGGAGCGAGGCCGGGCTACCTCTGAAGGGAGTGCGGAGGAGGCAGGACCCTGGCATTCTCAGGACCCCGCACACCTCATCCCGGGTTAGGTGGCCTGCGCTGGGCTCTGGGCTCCCTACCCTGATCGCGCGCAGACGGGGCGTCTCCCCTAGTATCTATCCACCTGGGTGGAATGCTTTGTGGGAGTCTGGGTCTGGATTCGTTTCATCAGCTGTGGGAGGGAAACCTAGTTGCAGCAGGATTCTGATTCGCTAGTCTCGTGCAGGGGGTGAAGTGTAATATCTGGGAATGAAATCTGAGCCTTCAAAGGAGAGGGAGAACCATAACTTGGCTACTCTGGTGAATCTAGGCGGGCCGGTGAGACAGTTTAAAGCTCTAGAAGTAAACAAACCTGGTTCCCTTTTACAGATTCTGAAGAAGGGGAGCAAGGAGAGGAGGCTGAACGAGGAAGATGCCTAGCACAGACCTTCTGATGTTGGTGAGCCTTTTGCAGACATCCTCCTGCTTCCAAGGCACTTGTCTCGGTTTTTTTAGTTCAAAGGATCCCAGTGTGTAGATTTCACCTCTGATGCTTGCTTTTGGTAGCTGAGCATTTCTGCCACCTTTTATTTTGTTTTGCTTTGTTTCTTTTTGGAGACAGAGTCTCACCGTTGCCCAGGCTGGAGTGCAGTGGTGCGATCTCGGCTCACCGTGCAACCTCCACCTCCCAGGTTCAAGCGACTCTGCTGCCTTAGCCTCCTAAGTAGCTGGAATTCCAGGCGCTTGCCACCACACCTGGCTAATTTTTGTATTTTTAGTAGAGTTGGAGTTTCGCCATGTTGGCCAGGCTGGTATCAAACTCTTGACCTTAAGTGATCCACTGGCCTTGGCCACCCAAAATGCTGGGATTTGCCATGCCCAGCTACTTTTTGTATTTTTAGTAGAGACAGGGTTTCACCATGTTGGCCAGGCTGGTCTTGAACTCCTAACCTCAAGTGATCCGCCGGCCTTGGCCTTCCAAAGTGCTGGGATTACCACCAAGTTCGGCCAACCACCTTTTATTTTGGATGAATGATCAGGGTGAATAAATGGCTGAATTAAATATATCAATACAGTATATGTAGAACTTAAAACATTGAAGAATCTTTTTCAAAATTCTTTTTTTTTTTTTTTTTAAATAAATGAGACAGGGTCTTGCTATGTTGCTCAGCCTGGAGTTCAGTGGCTGTTACAGGCATAATCATAGCTCACTGCAGCTGGAACTCCCACTTCAAGCGATCCTCTTGCTTCAGTCTCTGGAGTAGCTAGGACTAGGAGCACGAGCCACCTCTCCTGGCTTTCTTTTTCTAATTATTGCAGTTTTAATCCCTCCCTTTCCATACTAACAGAGCAGATTTGAAACCTCTGTTATTACATTTTATCAGGGTCTGCCATATATATTAGTTCATCTTGAGTGTTTGTCTTCCAGATTAGAGTTATGGTTCCCTGGCAGGCAGATATCATGTCTACTTTTTTAGAGATGAATAAACACCTAGCATGGTGCTCTGAATATAGTTAGTGCTTAACAAATGCTTGTTGGATTGAACCAGTCTGTATTTAAGTTCTTTTGTTGGGCAGAGAGGTATGCCTGTTTTAGAGGCTGTTTCCTCGCCTCCTGAGGTCTTTCTGTGCTGTTGTACTGAGCAGGGAAGAATAGTGTTGCTAAATGTGTGCTTACCAAAATGACATTTTATTTTTGGGACATTTATGATTCTTTATAGGCTTTTCAGTGTGAGAATTGTGGGGAGTTCATATCTGTGAAATGGTGATATAGAAAAAGTGTCGGGTTTAGTGTTTTTTTTTTTTTTTTTTTTTTTTTTTTTGAGGTTGAGTTCGCTCTTGTTGCCCAGGCTGGAGTGCAATGGCATGATCTTCGCTCACTGCAACCTCTGCCTCTCGAGTTCTTCAAGCGATTCTCCTGCCCCAGCCTCCCGAGTAGCTGGGATTACAGGTGCACGCCACCGTGCCTGGCTAATTTTTGTATTTTTAATAGAGATGGGGTTTTGCCATGTTAGCCAGAGTCTCAAACTCTTAACCTCAGGTAATCTACCACCTTGGCCTCCCAAAGGGCTGGGATTACTTAAAAGTATGAGCCACTACACCCAGCCAAGGATTTTTTTTTTCTTTTTTTTTTTTTTTTAATAAGTCACTTCTCTCAGTGCAAAATCAGTGATTTAAAAACAATTCATTTCTCTCTTTTATCTCACTATCCCAGAGGGTGGGTTGGTATCACTGGGAAACTGGCAAAAACTGGTAGTGAGGTTTTCTTATGCTCAGTGCTGACATCGTAGTGGCATGACCTGTAAGGTCTGCAGGGGGAATAGAGAAGAGAGAAACTAAGTTTTGATCCATTGCATTGTGATTTGAGGTGGGGAACTAGGATGATTTTAGGTTGTATGTGAGAGACATAGGTGAATACGTAGGTTATCCACAGATCACAATGAAAAGTTCATCGAAAATGGTTTCTTGCCCCAAATTTCGTGGATTTTAAATAAATAGCCATATATGACTTAAAGTTCTTATTAAGAGAGCATTGTGTTAGAAATACTGGAAACTATAAATAAGCAAAAGGAACAGGGATTTGTTAATCCCCCCCATCTTCTGCATCCTCCTTCATTCCCCTCTATCCCCCGGAATAATTTATCACCCAGAAATAACTGCTGTGAGCATCTTGGCTAGTTAATGCAGAGGGACTTGTAGTAATTGACAGTTTCTGTTTTTCCTCTTATAGATGAATATGTTTATGTAAATTATAGGTTCTTATATGTAAGTAGGATATTTCCCCATGCACAGAGATGTGCCTATTACTTCTAGGGCCTATGCGTTTACTTTAATAGAGCAATGACTGCTTTTACTCAGAATATTATCTTTGGAATCAGTTTTGTTTTGAGGTATTTGTCTGGCTGTTGCCACCACCTTTTTTGACTTCTTCACCTGTTAATCTAGAATGTTTAGGAGTGTTGCTTTGCTTGTTGCTGTAAGGAATTAATTCACATAGATGCAAGTGGCCCTAGACAGTCATCACTTTCTGAAGAAAACATACATGCTGCATGAAGTGCTTTTCACTGGAAAAGCTGTCATTCATTCCATGACTGTAATGTATAATACTATTTGGGATTAAATGGTGAAGAACCAGTGACCAAGGCTGGGTTTTCAGTTGCACACTAAACCATCATTGCATGAGGTGTTTCTCTAACTATGTTATATGATATGTAAGATGCGTTCTTGACCCTCCAACTGGGACGAAAGGACCTAAGTGAATGATAAAACCTCAGTGCAGTGTAGCATCTCAGAATTAGAAACAATCTTAGAAGTCATGTGATGCAGCTTCTTTTTTTTGAAGGCAAGGTCTCACTCTGACACCCAGGTTGGAGTGCAGTGGCGTGATCTCAGCTTACTGCATCCTTGATCTCTGGGGCTCAGATGATCCTTCCACCTCAGCTTCCTGAGTAGCTGGGATGACAGGCGCATACCACCACCCCTGGCTGATTTTTGTATTTTTTTGTAGAGATGGTATTTTGCCATGTTGCGTAGGCTGGTATCTTAACTCCTGGGCTCAAGGGATCCAACTGCCTGTCTTGGCCTCCTAAAGTGCTGGGATTACAGGCATGAGCCACTGCACCTGGCCTGTGATGTAGCTTCTTATACCCAAGTCTTTTGAAGAGTGTCTCTGATAAGTGGATAGTCAGTCTTCCATCTTTTCTGCTAATGGAATAAGTGAGCAGAAGCTAGAAAACAATACTAGGTGGATTTAGGAATAGTATTGTTAACTCTGATTGCTAACATTTATTCAGCATGTATTACATTTTAAGTATGGGAATACTGTACTTAATTTTCACAAAAACCTTTTGGCATCCTTCTTTTATAGATGAAAAACTAGGCTTATAGAGGGTAACCACAGTAGTTGAGTGGTTGGAGCCAAGTTTGGCCTCAGTTGGTCTGACTTCAGATCCTTCCCTCTTACCTACTTTGTGTGCTTGCCCGTGGTAAGGGCAGAGGTGGCTGACCATTGTGACTGATGGGAGAGGGTCTGTGTGGAGCAGGTGGGGTACGATGGCTCTGGCCTCTAGGGGGCACTTTGGGAAAGGGAGTCTGGGGGAGGAGGAAATCTTTTTTTTTCTAGTGTAGTGCTATCGGAAAATACATGTTTTATTAAATCTTGTTTATTGGGTCGGGCGTTGTGGCTCATGCCTGTAATCCCAGCACTTCGGGAGGCTGAGGCGGGCAGAGCACTTGAGGCCAGGTATTCTAGATCAGCCTGGCCAACGTGGCGAAACCCTGTCTCCACTAAAAATACAAACATTAGCTGGGTGTTGTGGCACTCGCTCGTAATCCTGCCTACTCAGGAGGCTGAGCAAGAGAATTGCTTGAACCTGGGAGGTGGAGGTTGCAGTGAGCTGTTGTTGCACCACTACGTTTCAGCCTGGGCAACAGAGCGAGACTGTCTCAAAACAAAAACACACAAACCAAATTGTGTTTTATTTTCCTTTACATCGCATTTAAGGTGTTATATTGAAATTTTAAAATTTGTGTCTGCAGGTGTAGTGTTACAATCTTTAAATGTCATTTCAGAATAGCTAAAGGGCATTACAGAATATTTGTTATAAAAAGAGGACATTGGGTCGTAGGGTTGAAAGCTACTTGTTTGGACAGTATGCTGTGAGAGAAAACCTGGAGATGACCTAGAGTCCACGTATAACAAGCCGTGAATCTGGACTGAGGGGCTTGGGCTGTCAACCCTCAGTGAGTTCCTGTCTTCAATTTTGTTCTCATTTGATTAGGACAGTTTGCTTGCCTTTTTCCATTTGCTCATATGTGACATGTCGTAGACTGCAGTACTTTCCGCCTGTGTCTCATAGAGAATAAAATGAGTGAGTGTGTTCATCTGCTGAGAGTTGCAATGATGTCAGAGGGAATTCAAGTCAGGTAGTTTTGTAGCAGCCTTTCTCCCCCTTGGCAACCATTCGTTTTATTCATACTCTCCTCTCTGGTGCTAGAGGTGGTATCACTTTGCAAGTTGCCAAATACTTGTAGTTTTTAAGGAAAAGATACTTTATAAAGCCAGGTCTACCCCTTAGGTGGCTTTTTTCTCTTCCCATCAGAAAATGATGACTAAATTAGCTGGTATTCATAGATGAATCAAGGTTAGCATGTGCAGCCTGGTGGTGCTGGGGGGTTTGAGTGATAATTGCTTATCATGGCAGTGGTTCTTGACCAGGATCAATTTTGCCCGCCCCCCCCGGCGACATTTGGCAATGTCTAGAGACTTTTGGGTTGTCACACCTGATGAGTTCTGCTGACATCTAGTAGGTAGAGGTTAGGGATGCAATGAAATACCCTACAATGTACACAGTCTCCTGAACCGAGAATTATCTTGCCTAGAATGTCAGTAGAGCTGAGGTTGAGAAACTGGTCTGAAGTTTCTTACCATAGATACCTACATATCTGTGTAGTCTGTGC